CTCGGAGAGTAGTGAGTTGACGCAAGAGTGCTCAAGCGCGTATATGGGGGAGTTCATATTCATTCATGGGAAGTGAATTATCGGAAGTCGTAGCTTACGATTGGAGTCATCCCGAAAGGCATATGCCGATTGCCATGTTATGGGGGTTTATTATGCGTGCGGACTCTCATTAGAGGTCGCACGCGTCCGAGTCGCGATCAGCGTAACTACTATTAGAGCCACCATAATCGATGCCCTCATGCTCAAGCGTGTGAATGTACGTATGAGACTTTGACTTGGACCTCGTGAATAACGCCGCCGGAAATGCGGGTACGAAATAAGTTATGCACTTATTATTTGCCTTTCGCTTATGCAGTTTCGGAGGCTTCTCGACGTACACTGATTTGTGTAATGTACACAGTGTGCGGGAGGTTGTTTCGTATCGAGTGTGTATATTTCTTTGTTTATTATTATTATTTCTTTTTTTTTTTCATTTTTTTGTTGTTGTTGTTATTAAGTGCAGTGTACGAATATTGAAATTGTTGAGATTTTTGTTTCTTTGTTTCTTTTGACGGAGACTTTAAGAAAATAGCGAAAATGTACATACGGATAATAAAGCATATTATACAGCTAATTTACTGCTGAATTATTTTTGTAATATTCGAATTTTATGTTTTACATTTCATTAAAGTCTAAATTACCGTATTTTTTTTATATATAATATTCAAAATTTTCAGAATTGTAATATTAAATTTTATATTGCTTAACATTTCATTGTAGAATTGTAGGTTTATTAGGAGCAAGACAACAAGAGACAGAGAGATAGAGATAGAGATAGAGATAGAGATAGAGATAGAGAGATAGATAGAGAGCGAGAGAGAGAGAGAGAGAGAGAGAGAGAGAGAGGGAGAACGAATAAAGCGCGATCTTTTAACTTGATGTTACTTTACTCCATTATTCTGAATATCAAGTATGGCCGACTAATGTTGAAAGATAAAAATATATTTGATTGACGAATTTTATTGTTACGAGTCAAGTTTATTCTACGTTTTAGCGTATTTAAGAATTCATTAATTAATTTGGACAATGAATCTTTACCAATATTAACAGGACAGGTAGCTTTGAAAAATACATATACTGTAAATAGAGCTCTGAAAAAGTAAATAATACATAATTAATAAGTGGCCTCGTTCTCATATTTGAATAGAATTTATCTTCCTTCAGCAGCACGATGAAATAAATAATATGCGATTCCTATTCATCAATATTCTCATAAAAGTAGTGAAATATCATTAAAACAACAGCCGAATCATCAATCGAGCACAGTGAAATTCACATTCCATTCCAATCCTCCATTGAATTACTATAATCGCATCAAAGCCTCCCTCATCTAGCACGGCTTCATTAAAACAAATACGCAATAATGAACCTCCTGCGTTCTTCTCCCATCCCATAGTTTAAAGTCAAACTTTCATCGCATCAATTTCGCCACGGATTCGCGATTATTTAGACAATTCGCGCGTCGACAAACAATGGCACGCGCGAACGGCAAAGCGAGGCTCACGCGAATGCACTTTGGCAATTGGGCAGTGCTCAGTCGTGCGCATGTGCAAATCAACAATCGGAATAATAACGTCGGTAAACAGGGGCATACTAAAACACAAGCGCGCGTGTGTGCGTGTCGGTGAGGTGCCGAGGGGGAGAGACGCTCATGCAGGCTCGTGCGAGCGTCATGGGAAAGGGTGAGGGACGGAAGGGCGGATATTAGAGGACGGCTGTGTAATTCAACGAAATGCCGAAGCTCGTGATTTGCATGCGGTCCTTATCGCCGCTATTGAGGTGCGAACGCGCCCGGAAGCACCGGGTTTTCATGCGCAAGGTGCACTTCCGAATTCGCCCTATAGCTATGGTCTTGGTTATGGGTGCAGTGCAACGTCATGGGAATCTGGCCGCGTGCATCGATGCACGCAAGCGTTCTTGCACTTGAGAGCGGGAGCGGGGGGACTGCGGATTTACAAACTGGGGATGATTTGATTTTTGTTTCACGGGTGCTGGATGATTTGTAATAGCCGAGAATTGCCGTGACAAGTGGGAGAGGATTTACGTAGCTCACGGTGGGAAATTCTGGAGGAAATTCAGCCGTATTATCGATCGACCTAAGCCCTTTTAATCGTAATATTTTATGATTTATGAGCTTCTCAGGTGTCTTTATATATTCATACGTCCACTTTTTGCACGAAAAATTATCATCATTTCTAGAGCATTTTCTAAGGTGAAATTAGCATTATTAAAATAATTAATAATAAGGGGATAAAATAATGTTGACGTGCAAACGACGTAGGTACAGAGACGAATATAGCATAGTCGAGTCTCAAAGAGTTAAGTTCGTATAGAAAAAAAGGGGGGGGATGAAAATTAATTAATTATACCACTTTGTGATAATTGAATAAAGACATCATGAAAATACAAGAATTTTCCTAGGCTTTTGATTCTTAAACAGTTTATACAAATATAAATATAAACGTAAATATATCGTCAATTGTTTCTTCGAATCACAAACATTGTCATTCATCATAAGTCATGAAATCATTAGAGTCATCTTGATATAATAGTAATATATAATGGTAAAATTTTCATTTAACACACGTTAAATATTTTATAAATTATTGAATTACGATACTACACGCTAATTGTCCTTTTAATATAATAAAAATAACATTTTCTTGCTTAATTACAAATAAAAATGTAATGCTCTCATTATAGAATGATGTTTATCGTTATAATGTGAATTTCAACAATCAACAATAAAGATATTAAATGCATACAAGATTAATAGAATTTTAGCGACTAGAAATAGATTAATTTTTATTATTAAATATCTCTGCGTATTACTGCATACTATTTTGAAATTGAAAAACATAATTGAACTCTCCTTTGACATTCTCTTTTACTCATGCGCGGTTAAATGATCAAATTGAAGAAAATGAATAGAAAATAAATAGTATTGAAAATTGGTATCGAGAGCTAATGAAATTTTAATTACAATGAGATTTTTCATACTATTGCAGCGTAATGACATATTTTTTGCGTAAATTAAAAATTTTTTTCAAGTTGCTCGACACTGTCAGAGTGCTTGCTATTTGAGATAGTATTTCATTGTTTCTGATATCAAATGATGATAAAAATGTATGAATTTTAATATAAAAGCTTATTAAAATTATATTTTAAACAGGATTTGCACGAAGAAATAAAAACGATAATACTCTAATCGTCTTTTCGACTCCATACTTCATTTAAGAAAATAAAAAATTTTACTTATTTCCCTAATAATCCGAGATGTATAGCAAAACTCATAGATTAATGTTCATGTGTGTCGGATACTAAAAATAAACCATGAAGTTCGCATGGACTCAATTTTTGTATGTTGATAAGACAATTATGAGCAAATGCTGCTAATGTGATTTCGCCTTATAGTACAATGTCGTGTGTATGAGGCTTCGTCTCTATCGATCAGTCGACTATTTATTTCAATGGCCATCCAATAACTCAGTCTGGTTTGTTACTCCTCGATACTTTTGATAGCTTCAGCCGTCGAGCAAAGCGATACGATCAAAGTGCGTGAAAAAGTGATTAGAAATCTTTGAGTGGAAAATTCTCGTGCTCTTTGCTGTTTCTCTCTTAATTATGTGCAACGCTGAACAATGCAATACAATATTTAGAGGATGAAAAGCAAAATATTTACGGCTTGTCGACAAATTCCAAATAAAGGATAACATTTCTCGTGACTTGGAAAATAACTGAATATCGCGTTTGATTCTTCCACATTTTTTAATTATCAGAACCAGGAAGGTACTGTAAAACTACATTTAAATAGTTAAAAAAAATTCTTCAATAACGTCAATAGCATCAAACCTCATTAATTAACTATTATTGTTTGGTATTTAATTAAATTTCATGATAATAAAATCAAAAGAACTATCATTAGGTTAATAAATAGGGTTTATTAATGAGAGAAAATTTGAGAAAAATTATCTGTTTGTGATCAATCAAGATGATTTGCTCGGTCGTAACAAAGTAAAATGTAATTTATTTAACGAAAATTGATATTTTTGCTGAATTGTGTACTAAACAAAATTTAAATTTAAATTTAAATACATTTATAAATGCAACAGTATGTAATTATTATTTTATTTAATTTCAAAGTTTCAAAATGTATGTGAAAAAAAAAATGTAATTCTACAATCTATAAAATATTGAATAATTCTAGTTTATCATTATCATTAAAAAAATAATGATATATAATCTTTTAATTGGATGCTTATTATTTTGTAAAGATTGAAATATAAATGTATATTTGTAAAATATTTAATTAATTTGAAAAATATAATATACAATCGAACTGTTCAATGTGTAAAAAATTGTTTGTTTTTGCATAAATCAATGAATTATTAACCTTTTTAAAATGATTCTCATGTATTAAATATAATTGTTAAATTATTATTATGTTCAAGAGTATTAAATCACTCAACAGACAATCAATTCCATTCTAAAATTATTATGAAAGAAATAATAAATTCAATATGTGTATGTAAAATTTTGAATTAATAATTGTCATAAATTTTCTATTACAGGAGCAGCATGATTTTGTATTGAAAGTAATAAGAGAATAGATTCTCACAATATTTTCTTTTTGAGAATTTTCAGACATCTCTTTACCATGTTATGTTATACTACATCGATAGGCGCTAAGGGATTTTAAAATAACATTGCTTTTATTATTCTTCACAATTACTTATTGGATCCCATATTGACATGTATTTCTGTATCAATATCAATCTAATGTTAATGAATAATTTGAATTTCATTTACACATTTTAAAATTAACAGCATACATGGAAAGCAAATATATACCTTATTTTTTGCTACATTTATTTACACTTATTTGTTTAAATATTTTTCTCATATATTTTTATATGTTTTTTATGAGTGAAAGGAATAAGTCAACCTACGAATAATGCGAAATGATGTTTTTCAAACTGATAACCCTATTACTGCCATTCATTGGCTATGCAATTTACGAGATTAATCAACTGGAAGTAGATCCTATAGACTTTAGCTGCCATTATCGGAAGCAAATTAAAGGAGATCTTAAAAGTCTATTTCCATTTCTTACAAGTCCATACGTATTGGAAAAGGTACTCGTAATATTTTATTCATTGTAAAAAATACTTTTAATATCAGCAGATTTCATTGTGAATTATAGTTTTAAAGGCTTTCGTTAATAATAAACTTTAATGTAAATCATTCGATGTTATTGGCTATTTGAAAATAAATAAAGTACATGAAATTTTTGCTATTTATATTCGAATATTTATTTAATTTGCAAATATAATGGTTTAGATTTTTCAAATTTTTTTATTATATATATATATATATATATATATATATATATATATTTTTTTTTTTTTTTTTTTTTTTTTTAATGTAGTAGTTACTTATATTTTTATAAGTCGTATATTATATTCTCTCCTAATTAAAAATATTTACTGAAAAATAAAATTATCTACTAAACGAAATTATGAAATTCAAAAAATTAATGATCATATATTATTCGTATAGAGTTTATGTCATATTTCATAGCCTCATTATGTACTGTAAGCATATATATGTATATTATACTCTAAATTACGTTATACATCCCATGTATAAACAACATATGCCTGAGTTTATACGCAACTGCACCATCATATTCATAAAGACTAAAACATAATATTGTAATAAAAAAAGTAATGTGCAATTATCTTTGCTTTTTATAAAATTATTTATCATCGCTGACAATATGAACAATAACTGTTATAAATGCTATTATTATTTTGACAATTATATCAATGATAAAAGTAACCATTGGCATACGCAATGGCTATAAGCAAAGCACACATTGTCCAAAAGTGCATAAACAAATATAACGAATTACCCATATAATTAGTCATCTGTGGATATTGGCCACGAAATGGCGAAGTTGCTCCAACGTAACGATGTTGCGCTTCTCTCTGTCATACGATAACATTATTACATTATTTTAGCAATCCGAGTGTCAGCAATTAGTTAGTCCGGGCTTTTGGGATTTCCGACCTTGTGTCCGCGCAATCGACCGTAATGCTTTCTAAAGCTTTTTCGAGTCGAGTTTCAGAGAGAGGAGAGTAAATAAAAAGCAAATCCGGTAAAGAGAGACAAAACATGGGCTTTTAAAAGGGCCTGACGGACGCAAAATTATGGATTATTAAAACGCACGAGGTTGCAAAATCAGATCTGTAATGGTAGAAAAATAGCGCTAATTGTAACGATGAGTGACAGAAGCCGAGATAGCCAATGTATACCAAATTTCGTGATTATTCGCTCTGTGTAAGTGTATGAGTATGGAACATAATCCCGGCAGGCATTACATCATTTCCGTGCTTTATTATCTTTATGGCTATGGGGGTACTCAGCGGTATGATATTTTACATAATTTGACTATTTGGTACACGAACCCTATAAGAATGTGAAGATCATATTCGATAATTTAATCATAAAGTAAATCCCATTAAAAAAAAAAAAATGTGTTTTATGGAATAATTTCAACAATGTTTATTTATTTACAATAAAGTAATTAAAATGGAAATTTCATGAATTATGAAAATGATAGAGAAAGTTTTATCTCAATTTTACATTATAATACAGCTATTCAAAAAACAAAAAATAATAATTTCCAATGCAATAATATTATATTATTATAAATGGAACATATCGTAAATATTATATATGTATAGTTTGGCACCCTGTATTATTTATATAATATAATAGACTGCTTTTTATAAATTTTATTAATTTATAATTAATTTATGCCGGCTACTATCGAATTCGGTAATAATTTTTGAAGAGACGTAAGAATGGAAACCGGTAGAACATGATAACAAACAGCCCTCCCAAGTACAACGTGAGAAATTTTCATCTCCAAGACCGATGCAAACTAGTTAACAATGCATTTATAGAAGGGTCATTAAAATTAAAAAAAAAAAAAACGAAAAAGAAAAAAAAAGTATCGAACAAGAGTGAGTGAATATACAACACATCCAACGGCCTGTGCATTCCGACTCTCGTTTCAAAACTTACCGGTAACAAGATTCGCTAAGACGTAAGCCAAGCTCAAGATATATCCAGCCTCACGAAACTCCACCGGGATCTGGATTAACTGTGAAGAAGAAATACGAAACGGCAATATTGTAAGGGGAAATTAAGCGAAATTGACGACTTCGTGTGCTTTGATGCTCGAGTAAACATTCATTTGTTTGTTCTTATTAACTTGCGGCATTAAGTAGATATCACTTAACAAGTTCGTAAAGTTTGTTATATAAGATTTTTAATTAAATTCAAACTTAAGAGGTATATCATTAAAATTAAATTATCACGAAGGATTTATTAGATGAATCGATGTTTGAATAACAAAATTTAGAATAATGTCAAAATCAAAATCATTGGGATTATATAAATTATCAACCGTCACTCTTCATTCATATCACTTAGCATTGAAAATTTTCACATAATTTTATTAAAACACTTTTTCGCCATATGGCATATAAAAATAAAATATTAATTTCACTTATTTATACAAGTCGTTAAAAAAATTTTAACATCCTGTCTCAATAAGCACAAATATTCCTCTTGGCTTTCAATAATTATCAACGCCATATTTATGATTCGTCAATTCCAGAGGTCATAACTATTATTAAAATATTCTCTAAATGATCCTCCAACTTTCTTTAATACTAGAAAATTTCATAAATTCTATACATTTCGATCATTCGCAAAGTTGCCCTGGAAAATGACATAGGAAAGTACAATTAAAAGATATATTGAATGTTGTTCGTTACTATATCAAATCATCATTTGACAATTATATAAACCAAATTCTTTATAATATATACTAATTAATTGTAAAACTATAAGAATGGTAAAAAATAATCACATTACTATATATATTATTATAATGCAATTATAACTATGTGTATCTAAATATATGATATTACATTTTACTATTTTTAATATATTTCTTATTAAAATATTAAAGAAATAGATCAAAGTAAAAATATTCTACATGAAATAATCGGAATACGTGTGTTTATTTAAATATATATGACACTTTTATATTAAAAAGAATATTTTTCTTTATTACTTAGATTACTATACGAAAATTTTCCTCGAAATTCGTTAAATGAATTATAATAATCAGTGAAATAATATATTTTTTGAAAAAAGTTGACATAAAATATTGAATCGTTTTCTTTTAATATTTATACTTCCTTTTAACAAAATTCTATTCTCGTTTTAAAATATCTTTTTTCTAAAATTATATTTCTCGTCCGCAAAGTGACGTTTATTCTTAATTTCAAATGTTGCTTTAAGAAAAGAACGGAAGATTCCGTATGTGAGAAGGCAATAACTGTCAAGTAAGAAAACAGATTCTCGTTTCTTTTTGCACTGTTATAGAGAGTATACAAGTTACATGGAAACTACAGTTCTGAAAAAGTAATTTCTCTGCTTCCTCTAGTCGTTAAAAATTTCGTAATAAGGTATCCGTTAATTTATTAGTTCAAACTTTCATGAAATATATCAGCTAGCAGTAAGATAAAAAATAGTTTTGAAAAATTTCAATTTCAAATGTACTTGAAAGTTTTTCTGATCCGATAAACAAATATTATCATGCAAATTCATTATCATTTTCGGCTCATACAGAAAAGCTCCTTACGCTATTTATAAAATTAATCATAATTATAATTATAATTGGGCTATTACACCGGCAACATCAATAGTTTTTAAGGCATTAGAAATTATCACTTTGCCCTTAAAAGATCAGATTTTCATATAATGATATTGCATTATAAAATATTAATACAGATTTTTTTAATTAACCGTTTTATTAACTATTCTTTTACTTTATTCGTTAGTATGAAAATAGATTAGGAAGAAGGCAAAAATAAATAAAAATTGCTCATTGATCGTAACTATAATGTTCGTTTAACATCAGTTTGTTTGGGAAAACTTGTGGGATTAGTATTAAAGTAATTGTGGCAAATAATGGAAAAATAGATAAAGAATATGATTTTGCTGAGTCATCTCTATACAGTTTTTCAAAATGCTTGCGTTTATATACCGAAAATCATTGCAAAATCAATGCAAATCGTTGAAATAACGCAAGTCCGATTATACGGATTAGTTAGCAGTCATTTTATAAATTGACGATGCATAAGTGGAGCGGGAATTTAGACGCGGAATCGGACAGCTGCTCCTCGAGCACGACAGCCCACTCGACAGACTTCCGATTTAAATGTTTGCGCAACAATGTTGCTCCAAAAAGATGACGCAATGCGAAGACCCGGGAGATGTACGCAGAGCCCAACGTGCGATTCCCTTTGAAACTCGATGTCCGATGGCGATGCTCTGCCCGTCCATCCTCTTCATTTAACTCCTAGGCCCATTGCCCCGAAACTTTGAAGCGTCGATGTACTTCGCAATTCGACTAATGAAGCGCGAAGATCAGAGAACACTGGCGAATCTCACAGAAGCGCGCGCAAACAACCTTCGCGATTCTTCACGCGAATTATAATCTGCGAGTACTGCGGTAGCCGGTGCTGGCAATCTCTCCATCGACTATGTGATTCGCTCGTTCTGTCCACAACAATATCGAATGAGCCGGAATTTAATGGAATATAACGCTATTTCACTCCATTTGCATATTTAAATTGGAATGGAGTACGTTTATTTATAATTATTCATTGGCAAGACGATTATTATTTTCATATGGGAAAATTTTTGATAAAATACAGAGACAATTAGGCGATTAAAGTCGTTTATTTTTATTCTTTTTACAATAGAAAATAATATAGACGATGAAAACTATACTACTTTGTTGGATCATTTTAGAGAAAGCATTGTAGCTGCCTAATTTTATGTTATAATTTTGACTTTAAAATAAATTATATAACAATATTATGGCATAAAAATTTATCAAACATATCAATTGCTGTATTAAACGAGAGAAATATAAATAAATGCAATTATTTTACGAAGTGAATATGTTTTTTCATGACTAAGAGTATTTAATACAACTTATAAAAATTGATAAGGCATATTAAATGTTCATAATAAAGTACAAATAAATCCATTTGAAATATTTAAGCCATTTACTATTTCTTTTTGACGCTTAGCTGCTCTAACCTACTTTCTTTAAGATCTTTTAAACAAGATTTATTAGCTGATAGCATTAGTAAAATACTACTTTAATAGAATATCATTTTAGAGGTAATACAATTGATAAAATAACTTTAAGAAATTAATTATTGAATTGATTTCTAAGATTTATAATATTATATAGGATTAATAGTGTCATTGCACTAACTGTAGCTTTGAATATTTTAATTGAAAAGACTAATGATACTAATGATTCAAGAATAACAATTTAGTAAACTTCATACAAATGTCTAGTAAAAAAGTAAGAATGATGGTTTTATAATTTTAAAAAAAATTTATTTGTAATAGTGTTTAATGTTTAAAAATACTATTTAACTATATGGCTTTAACTAAGTAAATCTAAGTCGATAGGAATTTGTAAAATATCTTGAATATAAAAATTCATTTGAAAGTTAAATATATACATTTAGACAAAGTAATTTATTAAAATGTTACTTAAAAAAAAAATTAGTTACATATCATGAATACCATCATGAAGCATTTTATTGGAATATACAGCTTAATGTCACATTAATAAAAATTTTAGAAATTATCTGTACATGTTGATTTTGGGTAAGAAAATTTTGTGTTTATTTCCGATATTTTTCATCTTTAAATTATCATTACCTTTGTTTACAATAGCAATTCTTGGTTGATTTCTACTCCGGTTTAACAATTATCAATCGAAATATTGATAAGATATTAGGGTAAACGCTATTATCTACTATCAAAGTGCATTTTATAAATATGTCAAAAGAAGCTGAAAACCTAAGATAAGAGACAAATTTCAGGAACGTACATATTTAGATAATTTTCTATAAAGATATTTCTGACATTTAATTTTAACTTTAATTTTCTTGTCCTAATTTTATCTAAATTTTTTATTAAAATATATATATATATATATAAATTAGGAAATGCATTTAAAAGAATTTACATGTTTTTAATTATTTTTAGTTATTGCCATGGCTAACAAGATTTAACGAAACAGACAAACGAATCATTTCACCAGGAAAATCATACACAGCTGTCATAATAATACCAATATTAGGTAATATTCTTTTTTTTATAAAATTGTCATTACAAAATTTCTGTATTTTATTGTTCTTTAAATTTTATTTTCATTATTCAAATTATCTAAAGAGTTAGAAACATTTTATGTTTAGAAACAAATCAGTGAATAAAAGACAATCCACAAGTACACAGTTAAAACTTTCATGTATACTAGATTTAAATGCTATAAAAGATAACGTTTCTAACCATTTTCTTCTTTTTATAATATTTTTCAAAAACGATTAGGTATTTTAGCCTCGTCAACACAATATTTTCTACACTTGCGTTTACTTAAATTTTTACATATGAGCGATTATGTTTAATCGTGAGTGATTATGCATAAGATACATAATAATTTAGGATAAAGTGTTATCATACACATTTAATGACTATTGGTAATAAAACGTTGCATTTTTCGGTAACTAAATTCAATAAACTACGAGTTATAGGTACACGTGTAATTTCATATTATATTCCAATTATTTGCAAGTGAATAAAATAAAAAATCTTTGTAAAATAAGTAAATATATTAATTTATACTGTTACATAAATAATAATACCATTGCACAGTTCATTCTAAATGTTTTCGAAAGGATATTGATTTTTTTTTTTTTTTTTTTTAAACAAATTTGAAAATCTTATTATTTATTAAGCAGTTTATTTTAAATATTAATTATTAAAATTTTAGATATTTTGGTTTTTGAAAAATATTTTAAAACTTATTATCAACGAATAATCTTTAAAGTTGAGTTATTTAATTAAAATTTGCATATTTTCTTAAAATATCATTCAAATGAAACACTGAAATAAAATGATACTTTATACACTTATCTGTTTGATGATTTAATAATATCATCAAATCATTATTGCATCAAACAAAGGAATTCACTCATAGAATTATCCTCTTATAATTCACGTTATTTTGAAAAAATAAGTTATAACAAAAGTTTAAAATGTAATAGAAATATTTGTTACAGTTTTAATGGGGTTGACTCATTTCTGATAAAAAAAATCAACAGTTTATTTAACTGTTATTGAAATAATTTCAGATTTGTAAAGAAGATTTAGGTCAACATCTTAAGCGTATATTTGAAATATAATATTACACTATTTTAATGTCATTTTATAGAAATGAACCTTTCACCACATCATTATATGTATTAATAAATTAATAAATATACACACACACACACACACACACACACACACACACACACACATAATAGACAATTAAGTAAATTCTCTAACAAATTTTTATTCAATAATTCGATTTGGCGATAAGTGTTAATAATTTAAAAATATAAATAAAGTAAAGAAAGTCGGTATTATTATTTCATTATTTTTGTCATAAATTAATCAATAGTTCATTATGTGCACATGAGATAAACAATACTGCACAAATTTGTAATTATTTTTATTAAATTTTCTTTATTGTTTTCAAAAAAAAAATTTCTCAGGCGAAAGAAGAATTTATGCTACTTTAACTAATTATAAACCTCTGAAACTTATGGCGTTTGAATTTTCTAATGATTACGTAAAACAAAAAATAATTATTCAAATGTGCAATTATCACGATCGATCGCTTTTACAAACGACTATATATTTTCAACAAACTTCCCTAATATATCAAGTAAGTTATTATCTTTTGATATTTGTTTTATGAAAATTTCTTAACATCTTAATCAGATATTTATATTTAGTTTTAATTAATTTTTCATTATTTTATTTTTTTTTTAGTTTTTATTTGACATCTCCTTATTATAATGATTTATAAGTACAGCAACGTTAGTTTTAATTGAGATTTAAGGTTAAAATGAAATTTATAATAACTTGTCGATCGATTTTAGTGCTTCATAAAATAAGTAGTTGCGAAGATGAATTGTAGAATTATAATTTATGTCTTTATGGATGGTTTTGGAAGGTCGTAAAGTTGCTGCAATAAAAATGCAGATTGATTACGGGATGATATAGCCAACGTATTTAGGTCATTGACTGAGTCTTTACAATTTTTCTCTGAACATTTTTCATCCTATGAATCATTGCAATCATATATATTATATACACTTTATACTTTCTGATAATATAAATAATTGAAGTTAAATGCTAGTGACTTTAGTAATTTATATGTAAGAATAGTATGCAAAAATCTTTTTTGCTTAGAAAGCATTATCAAACACGCTTGCTTTATTCCTGAATTCATGGTTTAATACATCGTAACATTATATGTTGTAATTATTTTTTTTAATTATTTAATAATGCTTCCAAAAACTTAGTTTGCCCTTGTGCATTTAATGTTTTCTTAATTTGCCGTAATTTGTAGACTCGTCTAACGAATTCATTAATTGAGCACTACAAAGAAAGAAAAATGATTCGTTTGATAAGGATCATTGATTATTGGTAAAATTTTATCAATATTACACTACATAAATGCCATTATCCATTTAAAGTTAAAGTTTTGTGTTCACCGTTGCATAAATTGAGCTTCAATTACAGTATTTTATTTTAACTGTTTATAAAAATACGATTTACAATATAAAAATAGAAATATGATTAATGTTTGAAATGTTTGAAAAACTTGACCATATTAAAGATGTTAATGTTGAGGTTGTTGAAATCATAAATAGTTATTTAATTAATTGTATAAATACTTAAATCTTCAATCATGAAAAATACCATTAAAGCTTTCCTTTAGCCCCATATATTACTTAGATATTTATTGCTTTCGATGTTAAATAGCCTATAAATAATAATAATTCTCTATACAATTATCAATGTCCAAAGTTACGTTGTTAGGAGATACAGTGCATTGACATTATACTTTTATTTAATTACGTTGAATATAATTGTTTTTCTATAAAAAATCACGTTTTAATCTAATATTAACTTGGATAAGTTTTTTATTGCAATTTTTTATAATGCTAGGCTTAATTGATTATATGATTATATAAATTCTTGTATCACTGAAGTAGTTTTTTTATTTAATTATGATATTATTTAAAATCTTTTTATTCATAGTATTTATAGAATAATAATAATAATAATAATAATAATAATAATAATAATAATAATAATAATAATAATAATAATGAATTTTTAATCTTCTAATCAATTCTGATGAATAATTTCCATAACAGTATTATTTTCGTTTTATACAATTGATGATTGGACTATGTAATATAATTATGGCAGTTAAAAATATACAATGACTTTATAATGTATATGACGACACAGCCTAACTGATAATTAAACAAATGATTAATAAGCATTATTTATGCTATTGACTGGATCAATAATTTCTAGAATCGAGTTGAGAGCAGAAAAATGAAAATTTACTTGCCTTCGCTCATCATGTGAAAAGGACCTATAGATAAAGGAAAACAAAGACACAGTGTGCACATAAGCCACTCATTGCTCTCGGCTCAATGTCGGTATATCTAGGAAAATAGGAGACGCGTCGCTCGCATCATCGTAGATTTTCGGGACAGAGAAAGCGAATCATCCACGTGTCGTCGCGCCCATCCCTAACTTCCTTTTCCCCGACAAAAGATACGGACGACGAGGTCGAGGATTGCTTTCTTGGGCATAATCCTTGGCAGGCCTGCACCTGGACGTACTTTCAGCACACAACCCCCCTTTCTCGAAAACGCAAGGGGAGCAAGAAAAGATTTTCCTTGCAGACTGTGGCCACGTAGGGAGTTTGCGCCGTATGTTATTGAGTGTAGTGGCTGTGTGGGGCGGAAAAGGAGTTGACATTACCATTATTTCGACGAAGACGGATGCTACTGACCTCCGAGTCCTTATTGCTGTAATATACACTGAATACGCTTCCCTCCTGCTCATCAAAATTTTCCGTTGCACCTACTCAGATATTGTTTATTGTTAAAAATGGACGGATGAAGTATCTTAAAACGAAAAGTGAATTATTTCTGAATTCAATAGTTGCCGAAACTGTATAGTATTCTTTAATACATAAAAGTATACTTCGATATTCTCGAAAGCTCGATCCTCAATAGTATATTAAAAATGTCCCTGTCAACGAATCACCTAACAGAGTGGAAAAGAAAAAAGTTTAAAAGTAAAAAGAGAAATATTCTAAACAGTTTATCGTCACTTTTCAAATATTATTTTCAGCAAAATTAATACAAGCTCATTAAGCACATACTCATATAATATTTTGAAGTAATTAAACACCTGATCAGATAATTGTAAATATGTTATGGATACAATTCGCATTATTTGAGCGAATTATACAAATCATTAAAGTTCGCGTGCACGGATAATCTCTCATTTTGTTTCAAAATGAAGCATTTAATTTATTTGGTAATATAATGATAATTAATGTAGCATCCTTTAACATTAATTAAAAATTTAATTAATGCTAGAAAGAAAAGTTTTACAAAAATTTGATAGTCAACGAGCCCGCGTATCGTTAAATTTTGACAATAAATATAACTAAAGTCTTAACGAATATCAATGCAAAGGATAAAACGAGTAAGTTCGACACTACTATTTGATAAGGTAAAAAGACTATTTTACAGAAAGATTCGCATCAATTCATCGAGGATGGGGTATACAGATATTAAAACTTTAAGCGAACTTCTTTAGTATTTTTATCTTCTGAATATATATTCTAGAATAAAAGCTTTTAAAGTTATTATGAAATTAATTGTGATTGTAAAAAATCGTCGACGAAGATTACGTTACCATTGTTAAAATGTTTTTAATTACACTTCACATAATTTGAAAGAGAAATTTCGACAATAGCTATAAAAAGAAAGTTTATGCTCTTGAGATAAAGGATAAAAAATAAAGAAGATATCCTTGGTATTAGCAAATGGATTAATTAAACTATAATGTAATAGTTAACTTTTCATTTTATTCAAAAGAAAAATCCAAGGTTCTCTAAATATGTCCTTAATGGTTATATGCTTTCGTGACAATTATGATTACTTCCCAATATCATAAGTAATTCAATAAAATTATATTTTTCTGTATTTTGCTTGCAAAATTAAATTAAAAATATCTCATTATTTACTAAATTTTTTTTTTTTTAGCCTTACGATTACTATAAAAACACTAATTTCGTCATTTTAATTCTTCAAATTTTCGTCATAACTTAACACTCACTTTTTATAATAATCAGAGATGCAAATGCATTTACGTTTGATAGTGATAAATCATATCATTGAAAAAATTTGTTATATTTAACTTGAGATAAAGTCCGTAGCTAATTTATATCCAGTTATCTTCTATTTCTATCATTACTGCAATTTCATTGTAAATTTACAGATTTCACCTCCTTAAAAAAAAAAAAAAAGGAAAGAAAAGAAAAAAGAAAAAAAAAAAGCAACCATGTTTTTATCATTATAATATAAATGTGCCGATTATTCTTTCGGCTGCAAGAAGCAGACATTTAATTTATAAATTTCTTAGGAAATTGAACAATTTATCTCTGGAATATATTCTTTTTCATACTACTACTACTACTACTACTACTATCTATTCTTTGCGTTTGTCTTTTTGTCCTTAACGATGAGGGGTAAGGCTTTCCCATACTTAAAAAAAAATCTTCCTTAAAAATGCTGCCACACATTTATCTTATTATAATATTATAATGGAAATTGAAATTAATTATATGAAAAAAATATGGTGGAAATTTTCAAGGGCTTTTCAATAGTATGTGTAATATAATTTGCTATAAAAATAGATTAACGAGCAAAGTGAAATATGCCATCGCATTTGGTACTTAAATAGCATGACCTACACAAATGTTCTCTTTACCTCAAAAGTTATGTAGGAATAAAACGATAAGAGTTGAGAATAATTTTGTCGCACAGGCACTTCATGTGCAGTTGGAAGACAAGTTTATGCTCACGTGCTCTTCTCCCAGTACACTATTCCCGTGATATTTTTATACTTCACAAATTTAGCAAAGGTGAAGCTGCATTCATAACATAAAGCGTATATTTATAAAAGTTGGAGAAAAAGCTCTATGGGCAAATTCATATAATTTATTTATTCATCTGGATGGCGTAATTAAATTTGCCTCCAACGTATTTAAAAACCTAAATTAATTGCCACTGTTCGTACTGCTTTTATCAGCTTTCAAAAGCCTTTTAAAATACCTTTAACATTTTCCTTACAAACTATCATTCCGTTGTGTGTAAATTATTTAAAAGCTAAACTAAAACTGACGTTGAATGCAGCGCCTCTAAAATGATTTCATCCAAATATGACTGTGGCTCTTCACGTGTTTATGTATTTGTAATTCATATTGTGCTATATAGGATGCTTGTGCGACTTGTGTATAATAATTCGTAAGACCCTCATTGTCCTTGCCTCTAATTGTCTTGTCTCTAATTCACTTTCTATAGTGACTTTAGGTTGTATATATGCGGACCTCAGGTGATTATATATACGTGAAATTAAAATGTTTGTTGTTTATTTATTATTTTTTCTATTTAATATTTGTTAAACTATATTCTCTTCACTTATGATTATTACATTCCATTATTACATTTTAACAACAATTTTTAATAATTATTTAAACATTTACTAAAGTATTTCGTTATAATTCTATTTCATCGGATAATAATGCAATATGTTCACTTATATGAAAGATTATTCAATTAATTATTGATAGCTTTCATAAGCTTACAGTTTATCATATTATTTACAATGTGATAATAAATATCTGCAATAATTCAAATATCGAATTATCGATTGATTTTGAATGGCATGTGAAGTTTATTAGAAATTTTATAAAATATTTTTTAAACGGTCATCGCATCATTATAACATGTATCTTCATCGACATAATCACTCACCTGTCCATTACATAATAATAGCTGTCTGCGTGTCAGTCATGTAATCTTTAAATTATTCATTACTCGCGTGTATTAGTCGTATAAATTACTCAAAAAGAAATTTGGATTTTTATTTTTTTCCAAAAAATTGAAATTTCAAAGCAAATAGCGTCTAATGTTTCTTCAAATTTTTTCAAACTAATTTATGGAAATTCTTTTTGTTCTAGTATACCATTGGATATATTTTAAGGTCAGTGATTAGAAAAAAACTTGAGAAATCAACCAAAAATTTAGCTACGATGATTGGCAGTTTGATTGGTACGGAGACGATTCCTCATTTCGCAAGAAAACCAATTTGATGATTATCTCCTAATGTAATAAAACTAAAAATTGAATAAAAAGTAAAAATTCAAAGTTTGATTTATATAAATAAATATTTCGAAAATCTTATTACAATTCTAATACATGAAATGCAATAACAATAGTACCAATGTTATATTATTGTTACAATCAATAAATAAATATATAAAATTATGTTTTTAACGATTATAATACAGTGGCAGTATGTGCTTTTTGTAAACAAAAAAAAAAAACAAAAAAAAAAATTCTCACCAATATTTAAGAAATCACATTTAAATGAAAAAAAAAAAGAACAAGAATCTCTACGATAATCTACATTATCGATCGTGAGTATAAGCAGAGACAAAATAGTGGTTTATTGGAGTTGAAGATGGCGACACAAACTTACTCTATTCCTACAATTATGCTCTAATTAGTTAATTAAAAAATCTTTTTCTATTAATAAATATATTAACTTGTTGAAAAACATGATATTAGCCTTTTAATCAATGGCCATTTTATTACAATGAATAATTATACTTATATCTTTTAGTTTGTTGGATTAAATCGTTTTTTCATAATCGGCGTGAAATAAGTTGTATTGCTCGACAATAATCACACAAATTGCAATAAAAGCTAGAGAAATTAATGAAAGCCTCGGCTTATGATCGAAGCAAATCCTATAAGCTGAATGATCCTATTATAAATATTATATTGTAAATATTATGGCGAGTAGTATCGGAAGCAAGGATATCGATCCTGTGAAAGTGATGTCGATCGATCGATTAGTTACCATTAGTTATTACTACTCCTTCCTAAGAGGTGAGAAATAGTAGACGGAAAAACAATTGACCTGGTGGGAGCTGCTAATGCCACCGGTGGCGCATACACGTACAACGACGCGGTGAAGGCAAAACCAGATTCGGTTTGGTTTGTTGTACGTACGAGAGTCCGCTGGCAATGACGTTGATCGATATTATTCATTAATTTCCAGGATTGTTCGGGATTCCAGGTGGAATTGCTGAGAATTCGATAGCGTCTCGTAAATACCGAGGAATTCATATCTATAGGGAGTCATGAGCATTGTTAATATGTAGAGAGTCGCCGTTATATAGAAACGTATGTTCTGTCTCATTAATGCTGTTAAGTTGGGAGTACTTATCTGTCTCTGTCGTACTATATTTAATTTCAATTTTCTATAAACATATAGTAAGTAATTACGAGTGCGTCTGTCAATTATGGAGCTGTTGTTATAAAAAGATAAAAAATAAAAAATAAAAAAATAAAAAAAAAACAAAAAAAGTAAACCTCGTCTGAATATGAATGGCAAGGCAGTTTAATTTCTTTACTTGCAAGTATAATTGCCAAGAATAAAAGTATTATTGAAAATAAAGTATTGTATACTATATTTTATTAGAATGGATTATTTATTATTTACTCAAAATGGATATGAGAAAATTTTAATTTATATGCGGATTTTATGATGAATGTCATATGTTAGAATAATGTTTAATCTTGAACACATATTTATAAAAATAATTATCGATAATCTGACGAATATTATCTTTTAGTTTTATTGCACTCATATTTAAATATGTGAAATTTTCAAGTTGTATAAACTATTATTTCAATTAGCTTGTAAGGCATCAAGCTGTTAACCGTTATAATTAATGTACAATTTAACAAAGTAAAATTACAAATTTTTAAGAACAATTGCAATAGGGTAAAGAAAGAGTTTAATAGCTTTTCATATACGGCATATGTAGAGAGTATTATAACACATTTGTTTAAATTATTCTTTCTAGAAAGTAAGCAATTTCATGTTGTGTATGTGCGTAGATATATTTACTTTCAATGTCGCGGGTACATCAAAGCAAATGGTTTCATTTTTTTAGATGTCAATTTTTCGAGTATTAGTTATGAAGATATAGAGAAAGTTTAGATAGCTTCATGTTTCGAACGTTTTTCAATATATCAGGGGATAAGTGCAGCAGCGAAATGTCGTTTGCGACTAAAAAGTGCAAAATTTATGGACATATGGACACGAGTGCGCATATGGATGCATACATGTATACATCGTTGAAGCAATGTCGCAAACAAGAAAAATATCCTATTTGCCGAAGACTCGAAAGAGAGATTGAGAGAGAGAGAGAGAGAGAGAGAGAGAGAGAGAGAGAGAGACAGAGACAGAGACAGAGATTTTCTACGGGTTGTTCGATACACGAGTATTTTGCTTTTATACGTATTTACGTGAGTTGACTGCATATGCATTTCTTCCTGTTATTTAATCAATTTTCACAATTATCATTTCGAAGAAAATTAATATTTAAAATAAAGAAATAATTTATTATCCGGTATATTTGGACATGAAATTAAACTTGGAGCTGTCATTTTTAATTTTAAATTCCTGAAATGCGCGGGAAGGCGAATAATTAAAAGCGCATTTTGGAATTTGGTGCGTAAAAAGAAAGTAGAATTACAGGTAAGCATAGTTGCACATAAAACATGTGATGGGATGTTCGTGGTCGAATATAAATAAAAATAAAACGAGGATGGGAAGCGGATTGCAGCACCCGATCGCGCGGGTGGAGGGTGAGCGGACGACGGGTTACGGGTATCCGTTGGAAATCCATGAGAAGAGCGGCGAAGGTACGGGCCGGACCGAGGAGTGGACCGGGATGACACGCGGCCGACTCGACGAGTGATTCAAGTAGTCGAGTCGTTACTTAGAGCTTCAGCTGGGAGCGTAGCGAACTCCTGTAATCCAGCGATTGGAGGCTGGTTATGGCGGAGGGTCTGAGGTCGGGGTTCCCTGCTGGTTCGAGCTCCACGTTGACTGGGCGTCCGCACTAAGCTCGCCATCGATATGGCCACCCCGGAGGAGTCCAGGGTGGCCAGGTCAGCTAAGGAGAGGCGAACCGGGCCAGAGGGGAAACCCAGCAGCCAAAAGTCTCCGTGGCGGGCAGTAGTGGGATCGCGCCCGGGAGTGGGATCGCATCGGCAGCCTGGCCAACACGATTCGACCCATAACTTTTTGCACTCCACCCGGGGGACGTCGTCGTCTCGTCGTGGCCACCTGCGGGTGAGGGGAGTAGTTGCTTTGTTGGACGGGGGAGGACTATAATAGGGGGACTACTACTAGAAAAAAGTTGAAAGAAATGTATTATCAGGTAGAGTGTAGAATACTATATCAACCTAACCTCCCTCTGGCGTACATTTCATCTCTTATACCCCATCAGCCTCCCTACCAAACGCATTTTTTTTATTTTTCCCACCAACTACGTAGCACCCGCTAATAGATCACGCCCACGCACCATTTTTTAAGCCAACTTTTCGCGGATTTCAAAATTTGAAAACGTCTACGCATATATGTAGGCATTGACTTGTTGACGTAAGCGAAAACATGGCGGCGCTACTAGTTGGTGGGCTTGTAGTGTCGATAATGGCGATGTAAGCCGAGAACGGCCGATGTTGGCCGAGCGCCTCTTCTACTTTATTTGCCTAGGCGCGGGATTATATGGCAGGTGAAATAACGGTGTACGGTAAAAGTAGGTAATTCAAGTCGGAGATGACGAATATGCATTTTGACAATATAAGCTGAAGCGTTAAAAACGTCTAATTAATATTAAAGCAAAGGATAAGATTTTTAGGAAAGCCTAATTAATGTTAACTTAATAATTAATTGTATTTTTCGAAATAGAAAATAGATAAAGTTTCTTCGTATACATTCTTCGGATTCATTGAAAAGAATATTAAAATATGTATTCTAATTTTATCAATTATAATGCAAAATATTGTAATTTTCTTATTTAAAATTTAAAATTTTTATTAAAATTTTGTTCGATATTTTTTTTTTTTTTTTTTTTTTTTTTTTTTTTAAAATCCTTTTTTTTTTGTTTTTTTTTTTTTTTTTTTTTTTTTTTTTTTTCACGAACGATAAAATAAGTTTAATATATAGTAAATTGCATAATGTGATTTGTATAACATAAAAAGTTGGATAGTATTAAACTCTGTGTGATCGTATTTATAAAAGTACTCTATTAGAGCACCATTATTAATATAATAAATTAAATATGCAACTTGTAAATGTGCAATGTTAGTAAATAAAATAGCTGACTTAGAAAGTTTCTATAGTCACGTAACAGAATTTACAGCATTATTTTATCCAATATTCACTCAACGCGCATTTACCTGTAGGACAAAAATTTTACAAGTATTTGGTGCATAATAGCAAAATAAAAATTCAACTGCTTTCACAAGCATTTTGCCGAATTTATAATTATAGGTAATTTCAATTTTTTATAAAATTGAACGATACTTTTATTTTATATGTTTTTATGTTGTATAAATTTATCCTTCGATACTCATTTGTAATAAAGAAAATTTATTAAATTTATCATAAAGAGAATCCGTAATTATTTATAAGGCCGGTTTAATAAATTCAAATTTATACAATAATGGTAATCGGCCCAAAAACAAAAAGGAAAAAACCGTTTATATCTTGTAAAAAAACATTAATATATAACGTCACATGACTTTTAAAAACCGCAATGCAAGAATCATTAATGTTTATAATTCTAATTATTTTGCCTAATGTTCGACTAATTTTTTCGACTTTTAATAAATACGATAAATTTTATGTATTAAGTGATAACGCGCTTAGCGTATATAAATGTTATTTACAAATTCTTTTGGTCTTATTATTTTGTCAGTCGATGTGGACATACAAACGCGAGTAAAATAAATAATAATTATGCTAATGCTATATAATAAATTAAAATACGCACGAAAACATTTTATAATGTTCTTTCATCGAATTTTTAAATAAACTTTTGATCAGAAAATACGATGCCGAGTTACGGAAGAGAAATTATAGTAAGTTATTCGTTCCTCGTGTCATGTGATGCGATATGGATATTCTGTAGTTTTCTCCTAAAAATATTACGAGTACAATGTTCCCTCCTTGCATAGATAAATGATGTAGTAGGGCTTGACATTTATATTAGTTTGAAAGTTTGTG